ACTCATTATGCCGATGATTTTAATAAAAATCAAATGAGTGATAAGAGTGATAGAAATTAAAATTTAAATTTAAAAGTTGATGACTAGTTATATTCTTATTTAAGTGGGGGGTTGTAGGAGTGTGAGATGGAAAGATTAATGTGAGGGTGTGTGTGTACATACATATGTACCTTCATACGTACGTATATACATACATATGACCCTATGTATATATATGTACATATGTACATCACATATAGGTAAATACATACATATATATGTATATATGCACATGCGTTACGTATGTATGTATGTATGTAAATATGTATGATGTATCACATACAAATGTACATGAATAAATTGAACTTATTATGATTATTATGATTTGATGTTCTAATAATTTATTTTAATATATTAGCTTATTTTGATAGTTTAACTTTGTATAACTTATTTCATAATTTTAAGTTAGGGCATTAATTTGTAATTTCTAATTTTACACAATTTATAACTTTTTTATATAGAATACTGTTACATTACTTTTTAATGTGTTAATAAATTAAAATATTAACATATAATTTCTTATTTCACACTCTATAGTCTATACAATATTTATTAATTTATAAAATCTTTTAAATTTAAGGATTATGCCTTGACTCAAGAACAAAATATGCCTCAATACCCAATTATGCAATTTTAAATAGTATTTTGATTATTGCATTTCATATTCTATATTTTAAATGAAATTTTCAGTTTACAATAATAATTAAATAGTTGAGATTTTGAAAAAAAGCTCAATGGGAAATTGAAAAAAATGCAATATGGAAATACAACATTTGAATGTATATTGAAGAAAGTGAAAAGATATACATATAACATCTACATGGTTCTCATTCTTACTTTATGAGGTGAAAGAGAAGATCCTTACTTATATAAATAAAGTGACAATGTTAGCATTACGCTAATTTGACAACAAGTGAATCTTATTCTGCTAATGAGCCTCAACGCTTAGAGGCAAAGATTTTGTTACACCGGCGCCTACAGGCAATTTAGTCTTCTGTTATTTATTAATTTTTGGTATAAATAGAGTTTAATAGGTGAGGATTAAGGGGATACATTGAGATTGTTGTCAGTCTTAAGTTAGGAATTGGGAGAAATCGCTTACCTCTTGAATTATTGGTGTTAGGGTTAACATTTGGGAGAGATCACCTGACTCTTGAATCGTGGGTGTCAATCTTTATGCATTTGAATTGTATTGTTTGTGTTATTGAAGAAAATATTTGTTTGCCCTATTTTTTTTAAGTTCTCTTGCACTTCATATATGATAAATGGGAGCTTCAAATGCATCGATATTTGCATGTCATGGACTATTATCTGAATTTTCAGTATCAATATGTTGAGAGCAATAAACCAATCAAAAGATAAATTTTGATTTGGGTAAATTTAATGAGAACTCAGCTAAAAAAGTAAAAGTCGAGCATTTAGTAACAAATATTCTCCAAGTAACTTTTTACATTTAATTTTTCAATTCCACAAATTATATTCTATATTAATTGTTTTTTTTTAATTAGCTAAGTAGTGAATTCAATTCTGAGATAATGCTCTTGGGCCACAAAAGTTTGCAATGAAAATATTAGAGCTCATCATTATAGTGTGAGAAAAATAAAGAACACATAATCAAATTTAAATACAAATCAACATGAAATTAATAGAAAAATTAGCCTTAAATTTATTTAATAAAAAATTTATTTTTCAATATAGTCATTGTTTGAAATTTAATTAATCTTTTAATTAAATTTTATTGATTAGGGAAGAGAAAGATGATTAAAATCAAAGATAAGATAAAAGATGAAAATAATGTTGATAAAATTCAAGATCAGCAAGGAGAGAAAGCAATTCACTATGATGATAAATCTAATGAAAATCCACTAATTGATGAAAGTGGAAGAGACTGTCAAATTCATAAAATATTATTTGGTCATGCCTCAGCTTAGTTAAAGCTCTTTCATGATTTTTTAATTAATTAGTCAAACAAATTTTAATATTTTAAAAAAATACTCTGTCGATAAATGGACAAGCTTAAACAGCTTAGCTTTCAATTTATTTATGATCGTGAATAATATTTTTTAAAGCTCATGAACAAATTTGTAAAAAAGTTTGATTAAGGCCAGATAATATGCTCATTTAAGATTGAATCACCAATGCATTTAAAATGTGATGCGAGAATCATATTCTTTTATATATTAAATTACTTTTATTCATGAACATAAACTACTTATTTACCCTCATTAAAATATTTATCTATTTAGTAAATTCAATTAAAATCTCATTTCTAAAAAAAAACCTACTCAATAAAAAAGCTTGAAGTTTGTTTGGTCAGCTAATGAGCCAAGCTCAAATAACCATAAATTTAAATGAACCAAGCTTCAGCTTGAACAAAAACAAGCTCAAGCATTCAGCTAAGCTTGATTCATTTGCAAAATTATTATAATCTTAGTGACTTAAAACTATTTATGTTCAGTTGGTTTGAGAGATATTATTATGATTTTATTCTGACTTGTTATACTCATATTTTGTTGTAAGTATATTACTTATTATTTTATACTTCTAATTAGTAATATGCAATTCTGAGGGTTAAACCTCAAAATGCCTTGAGGCTTATGTCTCGCCTCTAAAGCAAAACAAACTCAACATCCAATTGCATAGTTTCAAATCTTGCTTGAAATGATCTAGGTATTTGGCTTCTTAGCTTATTCAATCATTTGTTAACTTGTTATTTGCCCCTATTTTTCATCATGCTACTCCCATCTGTAACTTTAAAAAGCATTCCTAATTCCAAGTTTGAACATCTTGTTGCATGTGCCTTTATGGCAAAGTTATTTGGAAAAGCACCTAATTTTTAACATGAGAAGCCTGTGTATTAAATACAATAAACACACAAAGTAATAATAAAAAAGAATAAAAGCACTACAAGAAAGAAAGATTTATATAGATTGGCTAAAAAAGTTTATGTCCAAGAGGGAAGATAGAGCTTAATCAACTATAGATAGCCCATTGTTATAAAAAAACCCATCTGTAAACCCAAGTACACCCAACCTCGTCAATAAAAAAGGCCTCAAATCTCGTAAGCAAAGCAAAAGCGAATGATACAAGAGAGAGAGAGAGAGTAAACAAAGAAGATTTTAACAAATATCCTAAACTTACTTCAATGCATCTCAAACAAACACATTTTCACATATCTAGGAATTCATTGCAATATTTATAACGCAAAAATGCTCGCACCACACCATGATAGTACTCTATAGTTGCAAAACCTTTTTTTTTAACTTATTTTTCTCATTCAATATATTTATTTTGATTTTGAATTAGACCCCTCTATTTAACCTAGCTTGTGAAAACCTATTATGCCAACCAAATCACCAACAATCAGCACGTGCATATGTGATTTGCCAAACCTCTCGTGCTTTCCACTACTCTAAAACATAGAGCTCCAGCACAAACGATGGTAAAACTACAGCTCCTCCACTAGAAGTGTAGATTGTAATACATAGATTCCAACAAAAAAATCCGTGGAAGCACTCAAAGATGCAAAATTCTTCCTAAAACTCGGCAGACACCCAATTGTCAAAACTCTGGTCATAATATCACGCATCTTCAATTCCACAATGCTAAATCAAAACATTTAATACACCACATTAATTTATATATAAATCACTAGCAGATGATTTGTAAAATAAAAGCAATTCCTTATGAAGACATATATGGTATGAAAAGGATAAATCCAAAATCTACCAATCATAGCATCTATCTCCAAAAGTCACCCAAAAAGAATCATCGAAAGCAACATTCTACCAACATAAAACAACAATTAAATCTATTGATTGATCCTCCTTATAGTTGTCATTAGCATTTTGTAGATACCTCTTCAACCCTTAAGGATATCTTTTGACATGTCATTCAGCTTGGGAGAATCAAATCATATTTTTGTACCGATTACAAAAATTATGCAATGCAAACAGTTGATACATACTAAGAAAGTTTTCCTTACACTTACAATCTCTCAGCCTATTTTTCATATGCACCCGCATGGTTAAAATTAGCATCTTTAAAATAAGTGATTTTTTTTTTTCTTTTGAATTGATGCTATCTCTACCATTTAACATATCGTCATGAAAAGTCATATGAAGAGGAAGATTAATAACATATAAGCAAAAAAGCTTAATAATCATCATTGATCGAGACATTAAAATTTTTCAAATACTTAAAATAAAATAATACTCATTGATATGCGACTTCTTGGATGCATCTTCCTCCATACTTCACAAATATAATATATATTTTTTTAATAATTTTTTTTCTAGAAACTTTGATTATAAACAAAAGCTCTACCTTAAGCCAAAAAAATATGCATGGATGTTTCATCCAAGATAGCTGATCTTCAAATATAATTGTATTGCAAAAAGAGATTTTTCAACATCTCTATTCAATCTTCTTCACTCATAGTATTGGGCATATTCAAATGCCTGTATGAGTTCTATCCCTAGTTCTCAAACACACAACTATTTAAGCCATTTCTTATATGACATGAACATTGTAAACACGTTTGACATTGATAATAAATGATAGGAAAAATACCCAACTTTAATGTGAAAGCATCTATCAGAGAATTCTACAAAGTTGGGAGCATAGATTCTTAAAAAAATTCACGCCTAATATCCATGTATGAAAGGACCTTTAGAAAGTGAAGTGGTACCAAAACTGGATGCAGCGGTTAATAGAAAGCATAAGATGAATAAGTTTATCATTATGGACAACCCCGAGTGGATGGTTAAAGGTTGAAATTAAAACTACGCCATATCTTACAAAAGAACAGGTTAAACTTGCATGCAAAGGTTCAGTCATCCAGTAAAAATTAAGTTTTTTTTTTTTTTCTGCCGTAGTAGTTTAAATGGAAACACCAAGTGGCATGCTCTTTAGCTGCTAGCATTGAAATAATCATTGTAATTGCGATTGGCAGCACAAACCTGAGTCAGAGGAGGCACAGGATTAAGCCCCAAATCCGTCAGCGTCGGAATCTCCCCAGGCTCAACATCCCCTCTCGATGGGAGCCCCTTTATCTGATCCAATGCCTCTATAGTTTTCCTCACATTCAAAGCCTGCACCCTTTCCCTGAACCCACCATAGTTCGACGGCATTTGCTCCAGCTCGAAAGGCAAATCATCAATGTGATACAACGTACTCCCCCAAAAGTACTTCACCTCAACTCCGTCGCTCTCCATCGCTTTCTCCACCCTCTCCTCCGTCCTCGCCTCGTCATGCGACACCTCTCGGTGCATATAAACCGCATCAGCGCCAACAGATCGTGCCAGCTCAACGAGCACGGTCTCCGGCCGGCCAATCCGCACAACAAGATCAGATCCACGCGCGCGGAGGGAGCGACGGAGATCAGCGACGGACTGAATTATAAATGTGGCGCGATAGGGACCAGTCTTATCAAATCCTGAAGAGGATTTCCCGTAGTCGCGAGGGTCGAACAGATAAACAGGAAGAATGGACAGAGAATCGTTGCTAGCTACAGTAAGCGCTTCATTGTCGCGTACACGAAGGTCGCAGCGGAACCAGAGGAGGGTGCATCGACGAGCGGCAGCACCGCCTGAGGAATCCGATGGGCGGCGGCGGAGGAAAGGCAAAGGAGATGACAGTAGGGCGGGGGTTGAGGAGGAGAGATTGGAAGGACGGGTTGGGGTAGAGATATTAGAAGCAGAGAAAGAGAGGCGGGTAAGGGAGGAGATCTGGGTCGGGATCTTGAGGCGGGAGGGTAAGGCCGCGAATGGTTTCCCCGCCGCTGCCGCCGCCGGCGATGGAGATGGCCTCGAGAGGAGGAGGTTGGTGGAGAGGGCAAGCGAGAGAGAAGCAACCGGCGGAGAGGATTTTGAGGGCGATATCGTTACCTCCTGCTGCTGCTCTTCGGAGGTATTGAGGGTTTGGGGTTGAAGAGCAGATGGATTGAGCTCCATTTCTCTGGTTGGGAAGAATGTAGAAGAAAGGGCTCGTGAGTGAGTGAAGAAGATCAACGGTGATTCGGCTGTATATATAGGCGGAGTATTTGCTTACAACCCACCCAATTCCTCTTATTTACGTGTGCAACCCCAACATTTTAATTTTTATATTTAAATGTTAAAAAATTAATGGCATGAATATAAATCTTATGTGTAAAGTTGGTAGACTACACCTACCCAGTTCCCGCTTGCATTCACCTAACCATTCCGTAACGGTTTTAGGTTATCGGGTAGACAGGTTGAAAGGTTTACTTGTTTTCGTGTTGTTAACCAATACGGGTTGATGGGCGTTTTGGGGAATTAAGTTTGAGCTGGGAAAAAATCATGTCATTGACTGACATGTGTGAGCAGGGATGTGTATGTTGTTTCAGGATTCCAAAACGCTCGAAAATTGGTTCGAATTTTAGCTCGGATTGAGATCAAATCGAAATAAACAGACCGAGCTATGAGCCGAAACTTCGGATCAAATTTTCTTATAGTCGATTGCGAGCCATAAGTGGATCGGCTCAAATTGACTCGACATCGGCTCGAATTATTTTTTAGTTACACAAATTATATAT